CTTTGTGCAGACCCTGAGACCCAAGGAGGGTCCTGGCTTCAGAAGTTAAGCTCCTACATCACAGTTGTTTCTCCAGCTGCCATACAAGTATAGATAGGGGGTGGATGGCACTCATTTGAAGTCTAAGGTTATAAAGAGTTTATAGCTTACCTGTATGTTTGGGCACACAGGAGGTTGACAGAGGAGTGTGAATGATTCCATTCAACTCCTGTTTAAAGTTACATTTTTATCTCTAACTCCTTGCACTCTCCACCCTGACTCCAGATTTCTACCTGCTATCTTCCCTCCACTCAGACCCTCACCCCTGAGCCTCCAAGACCAGACAAACATGGTGTTCTCCATCCATTACTAGCTACACTACCGCAGAAGTCCAGTTCTGACCATTCTAGATGTCCCCACCTTTACCCCACTCTTCCACAGCATTTCTAGACCCCTGTCCCCCACAAGCTTGGCTACTTACTCTGTGACAACTTTCCCTGCTTTGATGCTAAATCCCCTGCCTGGGGACACCCAGGACTGTGCTTCTGCAGCCAACACATCTTGTCCTGGAAGAAATACCGGGAAAGCAGGCCTTCATGTTTAACAAATTTATAATGATGAAAGATCCCCACCACCACCTCCGAGGCATTGCAGACCTGTTAATTGCCTATGTTAATTTGGTCCTTCTGAACATCTTTATTGCTCAAAATAAAGGACACTAGTCACCTCCCCTTTGCTCTAAATCCTCTCCTGAAATCTCCACAAATACCTCGACCCTGGCCCAAACTGAGGCAAGGAATGCAATGTGCTTTGTTTTCCTTTCCGAATGTCCCAATCACATAGGCACCCGTGTTTCCCGAGGTGAGCTGTGTGCATGGGGAAAGGGCTCAACCTGGGGACCTTTGACTACCAAACTTCTCCAGGCCTGCTCCAACCCTGTCCTCACTAACACCTGAGAGACCCAAACTTTGCAGACTTTGACAACAAGTGAAAATACAAACCACTATCCACAGAAGTGGGCAGAGGGAGTGGAAAGCAAACCAAGTGCTAAAAAAAATTATTAAGCAGTCCATACTTTCATTCTCATTAGTGGGAACATGTGAGATGAAGCAGGCTATGTTATTAGGCATTCTCTCGATTCAGTAAACACAGGCTGAATAAATTTATAAATATCAGCATTAAGTGAGATTTAACGGGGAGTTGTTTATCTTTTGCCTGTCAGGCAGGAGGTAACACTCTCCATGAATCACTTACCAGATGTGCAGTCTGCACCCGCCTGTCCAGGTACGAGACTGCTCTAGTTGGGTCTGGTGGGGTGGCAGGTGGGGGGGGCTGCACCTCAGCAAAGCTGTCAGCTTGGCGAGTTCAGGGTAGGCTCTGTGCGGAGGATGCTCAGGGACACACATCCTGGAGCTGCATCCCAGTTCCTTCAGCAGCTGCAAACCCCTGGGTAGCTTTGCTGTGCAACATCTCTAAGGCCAAGACACACTGCTGTGGCCTGAATAACCCCACTAAAACTCACAGTGAAATCTAACACCTATCGTGAGGTATTAAGACATGTAACAGAGCAGAACATGTAAAAAATGATTTGGTCATGAGGTCTTGTATATGATTAAAGCCATTTGAAAACTCAGTGGGTTGGTGAGTTACCTCCTGACTAGTTCAGTTATAAAGGCCATTTTGGCTCTTTTACATTTCCCCTCACCTTGTGATTCCCTGAGCCACCTTAAGATTCCAAAGTCTCACCAGCAAAATGAGGCCCGATAACCTGCGATTTTTCCAGATCCTATCACTTTGAGCTGAAGAAATGTTTATTCTTTGTAAATTAACCAGTCTACAGAAGATGTCTCAACTGCAGCGTTATGAATTATGTGTCTATTCATAAAGCTGTGCCGAGTGCCCAAAGTGATTGTTTTTCAAGAGACAGACATGTAACAGGTCCATGAACAAAGAGTTGACTTAATGTGGTTGCTGGGTTCTGCCGTCCTCGATGGATCAGTACAGAGCCAGGTGTAGGGAAGAGCACAAGACAGCCATAAAGGGCAGAGGTCCCGAGAGCTGTTCATCCTGACTTTTGTAGGAAAAAGCATGGAGCGATTCATGGATGACTCTAGTTTCTAGGCCTCCATTTTCTCTTATTCTAACCTTAAAGTCCCTGTGAGATCAAGGCCTATGTAATAATTGCCAAGTGAGTCTATGTGCAATGATTACAGAGCGCTGGATGAGGAAAGGTCTCTAAGGATTGAGGCTGAGAACACAGGGTTTTTTGGTCCTTTTGTGATACCTTAGCCTGTTTCTGCTTTACTTAGATAACTCTAGTGCAAGCTGGGGCAATGTGTGGGTTCCTAAAACCTTTCCAACTGTAAGCTTGTGTTTACATGAACCTCAGACACTGTCTAACGCTCTCCCTACCATCCCGATGTGGGGGTAATGGCACAGAATGGACATGTGTAACAGGAATACATGCTGTACCATGACCATACTGCAGGCTGGGAATCTCTACCCATTCCAGGAATGGCCAATCTGAATCAGACTCTGCCCTTTCTAATGATAAAATAAATAAAAATAGGTATGATGTATCTCAAAGCACCTGCCATTTCACTGAGAAAGCAGGTCCTCTCTACAGTCTACTCTAGTCCTGAATTGTGCACATCATCATGCTGTGTTGTCTTGGATGAATAGGGAATGAAGTTCTAAGAACTGAGCTTCAGAGAAATGACAACTGCTTATGCATAGGTCTCTGGGTACAAGTGTATCAAGTTTCATGGCCAAGATAAACACCTAAGAAAAGTCCATCACTCAGCCCCATTTGCAGGAAGGCTGTGTGTGAGCCTCTCTACCAGAGGCTCTGAAGCAAAAGCAGAACCAATATAGCAATGAGAGATTCCAGACAAACCACATATGAGAAAAACAGTGTCCATGCTGACCTGAACTAGGTCTAAGTATTAGCTCAATAGCTATTTTTACTGTGGCCTAGATTACTTAAACGACAAATGATTATTGCGCATACTTAGAAGGCTAAGGCCTAAAGTTAAAGGCTACATTCCAAGGTCAGCATAATTGGCACTTGATTTGTGATTACATAGCTGAGAAGGTGAGAGAGGTGAGGGGGTAGGAGACTGAGAAGAGGTAAGCTCTCTCCTCACTCCTCCCATAAAGGCCCTAATCTCATCACAAGGGCGCCACCCACACACCCTAATTACCTCTCAAAGACCTGATCTCCAAATATCACGCAACTGGTGTGGTTAAAGCTTAACATGTGGATTAAGGTGCAAGGAATCATGAACATGTAATTTATAAAACTGGTCTTCTTATGCCTGCCTGCCCTGCTTTGATTTCTGTTGCTGTGATAAAACACAGTGGGAAAATAGTATACTTAGCTTTCATATCTCTGTCCCACTCTGATATTAGAAGAGGAGAAGTCAGGGCAGGAATTCTAGCAGGGCAAGAACCTGGAGGCAGGAACTGAAACAGAGGCCGTGGAGGAGAGCTGCTTACTGACTTGGTCTTGATGTTTTTCTCATCCTGCTTTCTTACACAACACAGAACCACCTACTTAGGGATGGCACCACCCACAATGGGCTGGACCCTCCCACATCAATCATTTATCAAAAAAAAAAATCCCCTACAGTCTTGCCTACTGGCCAACCTGATGGAGGCATTAAATCAGTTGAGGTTCCTTCTTCCCAAATGACTACAGCTACAACAAAACGAGACAAAAAAACCAAACAAACACACACATCAGAAATCAGCCAGGACTCTGCCAACATGTGCTTTTGTGAGGTTTGTTTTAAAAATCTCAACCAGGGCTAGATAGAAGGCTCAGCAGCTAAGGACATGTACTACTTTTGTAAAGGGCCTAAGTTCAGTTCCCAGGACCCCCCCCCCTTTTAGGTGGTTCACAAATATGCATAACTCCAGTTCTGGGAAATCTGGTGCCTCAGTGGACACTTGTAATCATATGCACATATCCCTACATGAAAACACGTAAAATAAAAATTAAAAGTTAATCTTTACAAATCTCAGCCAAAGCCGGGAATGATGGCGCATGCCTGTAATCCCAGTACTGGGGAGGTGGAGGCAGGTGGATCTCTGTGAGTTCAAGGCCAGTCTGGTAAATAAATCGAGTTCCAGGACATCCAGGGCTGCTACACAGAGAAACCCTGTTTTGGGGGAAAAAATCTCAGGACTCAGTAGGCTGAATCTAGGTTACTATAATAATGACAATAAAGTTATATTATGCTGGGTGTCTCTGACTCCCTTTTTAAGGGGGCCTGTCCACACTTTGAGTGTCATGAATATTTTTAGAAGTCTCAGAACAATTTAACAAACACTGGCATCACATAAAAAATAAATACGGGTGGAAGAGGTGGTGTGTAGCTCAGTGGTAGAGTCTTTGCCTAGGATGAACAAGACTCTAGGTTCAAGGCAGAGAGAAAGAGGAGAGGGTGTGGAGGAGAGACAGACAGACAAACAGCAGATAGATAGATAGATAGATAGATAGATAGATAGATAGATACTGTGAATGAGGCTTTGCAAGGCAAAGAATGAATTCTGGCATTAAGGATGCATGTGTAGGAAACCATAGGTTGAACTGTGCTTGCCCAAAATATTTCTAGCACTCAAGAATGTGACTTTATTTAGAAACAAAGTCTTGACACATAAAATCAAGTCAATATGAGATTATTAGGAAGGGCCCTCTATCCAATATAGCAGGTGACTTTGTGAGAGAGAGGAGAATGCCACATGAAGACACAGAAAGAGAGAAGTCATCTGCAGGTCGAGGCAGGGCCTACATCTAGGCCATCACAGCCAAGGAACCTCTGGATCCACTAGCGGCTGGGAAAAACGGAGGGAGGAGCAACACTGTTCCAGTACCTTCATTTGTAGTTCGGGTATTCAGAACTGTGAGAGAATACATTTCCGACTCCTTCAGCCGTCAGGGTGTCATCTATTGTTATGGCAGCCCTAGCAAACAGAGGCAGCAAGCTAAACTCTGTAAGGAGGTATAATTATAATTAGTGCTCACTTCAGCAGCACATACACTAAAATTGTAATAATACAGAGCAGATTAGCGTGGCCCCTGGGCAAGGATGACACGCAAAGTCATGAAGCTTTCCATATTTTTATCAGATCTGAAGAAATACTAAGATCTTCGAGCACAAAGATCACTTGAGCTAGAAGTGGAAAGAAGGGGGACCATGATGGAGGACTTCCCGACAGTACCGGAAAATGGGCCAGGAACTCTACATGAAGCAGAACTAGCGTCTAGAACTACGGGGAGGGGTGGACACTGGCGAGCTGGACAGCAGCTTGGATGACTGGGAGGAGATCTTCGGAGTTTTTTGTCATTGAGGAGGCCATGCTTCTGGAAAGTCATGAGTGACCTCAGCACTATGTGTCACTGTGCCGTGCACGCAGGATCCGAGGCCACCCTTCAGAGAGAACCTCGAGCTGGGTTTTCATTGGGCTTTCTTGCTCTGGACTGAGAGTGCGCCCGGGGTTCTTCCATGCCGACACAGCTCTGTGCCTTCAGCCCCTGGGCCCACAGTGGGGACACTCCAGGCTCGGCTCTCATTTGCCCTGTTCGGGTCTGTTGGGAGGCCTCCTTGCCCTGCTCCTGGTGGCTCCCTTCACTCCTGCTGCCCTGGTGTTTCCAGAGCCTCCACATGCAGCTCAATAGGGTTCTCATTCACGGACTTGCTGTCCCTGCATGGGGCCTGGAGACCTTCATGGGAACTGGGTGCCCACCTCTTCCTTATGCCAGTAGCTCTGGAGGCACCCCAGTACCTCAAGCCTGGTCAGGCTGTGGCAGGGCCTCTGCATAGGTTGGATGCGGAAATAAATAAAAGCAACCCCGTGAGAAAAAAAGAGGTTTCGCTTTTTGCAGAAGTTCTTAAGTGTATTCATAGATGCTGAAGAAGGAAGACCAACTTTTCTTTGGGGATACGGTCCTCGGTAGGATGCCCATGGCACAGCAGATGGTCCCTTACCCATGCACATATGGGCAGCACTAATGGGGCCCGATGAGTTATTAAATATAAACAAATAAGAAGAGAATTCAGGGATGGATGGGAGGATTTGAAAATGCTGAAGGTGCATACGATCAAGATGCATTCTACACACATACAGTTTCGATGAATGCATTCTGTATATGAAGGTTTCAAATGACGTGTTCTATACATGAAAATCTCAAAGAATACATTTTAAAAATTATTAAAATAACAAAGGAGAAAATCCACGGAAAGTAGACTTGAAAACTAAAAGAATATTTAATGGAGCATGGGAAAGGAAGAAAGGGATTGAAATGAGAATGCAAATATCCCAACTGGCTTCAAATCCAGGACGAAGATACACTTTCTTCAGTGGTGTAGCCACTAGTAAGGTGCCAATGTCCCTACAAAGAACCCCTAGCTCATGTTCCTTTAAGCAACTCTAATGAAATTCATTGACTTGCACCATACACACACAAATTAAATGTAAAAGGCCGTGAAAGTAGAGTCAGGCTGGATGAGAAGAGTAAGGGGATCGGAAGAGTGGCAGGGGGGTAAGAAAGGGTGATAGAGGCGAATGTGATTGGAATGCACATATATGTAAATGCGTGTATATGACGATGTCATGATGAAATTCGTTATTAAACACAACTGGTACATGCTTTAAAAGCACTTTAGCATAAAAATGAGAACCAGAAGGACACTTTGTGATCTGGGGCCAGACGTCTCAGCCCACAATCTTTGGAAAGCAGAGCCTGAGGCAAGGATTGACTTGGTGGCATTGTATAGGAGGAAGAGTACATGCCCAGGGCATCGAGGATAAGGAAAAAATTAAAGCAAGGCAAAGGGAGATGCAAAGCCTGAGGATTAAGTGCATCTGGGCACTCATGACTACTTTATAATGAACTGTAGAAATGCTGTATAAGAGTTCTAGAGGAAATAGAAGACATATGGAAATATATATCTCATGAATGGATTAGTAAGCAGATGTCGAGGTAGATAAGATAGATACATAGATAGATACACAGATAGATAAATATATTGATATATGATAGATAGAAAAACAGACAAATTCATCAGAATAAGTTGATTCATACTATACAGTTTAAAATTCCCACCTTCTGGCGTTTGTAAACTGGAACATCAGGAAAGCCAGTGGTGTAGTGATATTCTAAGTCTTAGACTGGAATTTCCATATTACAAGGGAAGGTCTGATTTGGTCTATTAATTCAAATATATGTTATCCAGAAACCATCCCATAGGTATAACCACCACAGATACAAGCAGATCATGTGTGGAACATTAGTCCTTGCCATTATGGACTTCTATCCAAGATTTTCAAGCAGAAAACACATTCTGGAGTATCCACTAGGAGGAGGAGGTTGGCCTTCATGAGTCTTTAATTTTCTAGAAATCAAGATTAACCTGAGCCAGAAAGTGACCCTAAAGATCTGGGTTACATTATCCAGTCTTCATTTTCATGGTATTATGGAGTCTGCAAGTGAAAGAATAGCCCATTGTTGCCTGAGCAGCATACCAGAGAAGGAATGAGAGAGCTCAAGGAAGCAACTAAGTCAGTTCCAACAGGAGAAGGGAAAAGAGGGTGTGAATAAAGAGACAGAGACCGAGGTGATGGAGAGATGTTTCTAAAAATAATGAGAGTAAGCTGAGAAGATCAACTTTCCAGGGCTATTGGGAAAGAGCTCAAGTAAACTATGGGAAAGGAGGTACGGAGAATAACCTAAAGCCTTAAGAACTACGACAATTCAAAAATGAAACAGGCCTGTGACAAATACTGTACTGGGAAATCTTAGAAGTTCAGAGTTCACCATTAGACTCACTTTTCTCAAAGCTTTCTCTTTAAAGATAAGGCAACAAAGCCAGGACAGAGGGTTGCTGACTCTGGTGGTTTAAATGAGAAATGTTTCCTACAGGCTCCGATAGTTGAGCCCTTGGGTCCGGTTGGTGGCACAGTTGAGGGAGATTATAGGAGGCACAGCCATGCTGGAGGAAGGCACTGAGAGCCTCTTTGAGAGTTCATAGCCTTGCTGCACTCCACTATCGTCGTGAGTGAGTTTGAAGAAGTGAGCTCTCAGCTTCCTGCTCCTGCTGCCATGCCTCGTGGCTGGCTGCCCTGCCTCCCCTCCATTATGGACTTTCTCTCTGGAACTATCAGCCCAAATAAATCCTTTTCTTCTATAAGCTGCACTGGTCATGGTGTTTGGTCACTGCAACAACAACAAAAAGTCGATATACAGCTGGGCAGTGGTGGTGTCCGCCTTTAATCCCAGCATTCAGCAGGCAGAGGCAGACGGATCTCTGTGAGTTCAAGGCCAGCCTGATCTACGGATGAGTTCTAGGACAGGCTCCAAAGCTATACAGAGAAACCCAGTGTTGAAAAACAAAAGCAAACAAACAAAAAACAAAAAAGCAGCTATACAGTGATGTCTTTTATAGATTTATGGAACTTAGTGAAGAAGCACTTTCTCGATAATTAGCGCCCCCACACCCAGAATGTTTAGAAGTAGTGATTCAGAGAGTGATGGCTAAGCTCTGTCTTCCCAGTGACCCGCTCCTGTGGAGAGTCACAGGCAAGTCACCTGAGATTGGAATCTAGATATTCCACCGCCTGGTAACACCTGCCTGAATTACAGGCAGGGTCCAAACAATGGAAAGAATCACCTGAGAATCCCAGAAAGAAGGCTAAAGTGTAGAGATGGACTTGGAAGACCTAGAGCAGCTCCTCCTGGCCTTGCCCTGTCCTCAGAGACCTTGTGTGTGTTGCCTCTTCCTCCCCACTCCTCATGGCCTCCTCTGAAGTTCCATTTCTAGTGAAAGGACACAGGAGCTAGAAGGAAGATTACAAGAAAAGTGTGTGAGCTCTGGCCGGGACTGGTTCCGGGCTTTAGTTGATTAAAGAATTACAAGATGGTAAATGGAGGGACTCCTATGATGAGTAAGACCTTCTCTTCTCTCTTTTCCTCTAATTCTGAAAGGTGGGGCTCTCAGTCTGCCTTTGGAAGAATTCTCTCTAGGAATTTGATGGCAGTCTTGATGTACATCCCCCAAAACTGCATGACAGAGTGAGGCTCTGTTTAAGCATGGAGATCAAAAGAACTCAGGAAAAACTAATGGGAAACCCATTTTCTTCTATAGCACGGAAATATGTTTTGAGCATCCAATGAGAGAACGTTCCTATGGTCAGGGACATAGATTCTTAGAGAAGCTAGGAAAATGGAGTCTATATGAATTCTCTGTGGGTCTGTAACAGATTCTCCTAATATAACAAATTAGAACAATGAACACTAATTAGCTGAAATATTTATTCCTGAGGGTCAGAAGCCCAGGGACTAATAGCCAGATGAACCTGCCCCAGTGTTCCTTGTGGAGTTGCTTGTGGTCATGCTGCCCACCTGTGGCTGACTTAGGCTGAAGATGCGCATTCAAGATGTGTCCTGCACGTGCATATTGATGGAATGGCTGGGGGCAGTAAACAACAGTTACCCATAAAGAGCATGGGTTTCTCTGCAGAAATGGTGGCTGACTTTTCCAAGAAAGATGACCCAAGAAAGAACATAGACTCAGAAGTAGCACACCATTGGCTACCCTTCAGTGGTCACATAGACTGATCTTGGTCCCATGTAAGAAAGAACTACAGAGGGTGTGAATGGCAGTTGGGAGTTATTTGAATTTGGTTCTTTTGGGGGACATCTTTGAGTCAGGCTATAACATGCCAGGTGATAAACTCATCACTCCACTATACATTGAACTAAAACAAATGCTGAAATCATTAAAATAAAATCAGCTTTGTGATAAAACTAATGAATACCTACTGAAGAATAGTGGCTCTCAGACTTGATAAAGCGTTAAAGTCCCTTGTATTTTAATCACAGATGGCTTGAACCCATCTTTGAAGCTGCCTGATTTTGCAGGCCTTGGATGAACACAAGCACTGCCACTTTGAATGAGCTTCCAGATGATTTTGATGCTGCTGTTCTGAGAGGTGTAGATACATTTATGAAAATTTGGACCTTAAAGGGTTTTTTATTATTCTTTTGAGATATCAGGGTCTCACTGTGTTGCTTAGGCTGGTCTTAAGCTACTAGGTTCAAGCCATCATCCTACCTTAGCCTCC